GCCCAGGGATAAAGAACCCAAGAACGCCTCACTGGGGAATGAGAAGTTGTACCCAAGAGAGGGCAGGGAAGCCAGTCACAAAGGAGCTCCTCTCTATTTGGAATAAATGCCTTGTGTTACATTTTCCTTCCTCTAACATCCATGATGGAGGGGATGACATCCTTGAGGAATAAAGCCAGAGTTTGGTAAATAATGTCAGTGCTAATATACTAAGAGTAGCATACCTGATCTTTGACCAAATGTGTATCTTTTTCAAATCGTTTTAATAAACAAGTCTCTCCTTGTCCATTAGACCTCAGGACAAACTACCCCATACCGGTAGTTATCAAACTAGCACTTAAACCTAGATTTAAAGATATTGAAGGCACAGAGAACAGAGTTCTACAATCAATCAAGCATTTGCATGTCTACTGCGTACCCAACATTGTGCTAGAAACTACACGCTACAGAGTTAGAAATGTTCAAATTGTGCTACTGAAGTTTAATGTTGAAGTCATTTCTTTTTTCTTTTGGTTCTATCAAAGCCTCTTTGACCCGTAATGTCCTTCGAGAACATTATTTCAACTAGGCCATCACTCATGACCATTCCTCACTGGATTAGCAGGAAACACTTCCAGCCAGCCAGCATAGAGCAGAGACTGGAGAGGGATGCAGCCCCTCCACTACTCCACCAGTGCACGCAACACACACGTGCCTTGTACCTGCTGTGCTCTCCCCAGGAAGTCCTTCCCTTCTCATCACTCCTGCCCATCTGAATTTCTCTGTGCTTCAACTCTGCTCAAATTGACCTGTCCAGATCCCTACAGCCACACACTCATGTACCTCTTACTGTGTCCTCCTATGTGTTATATTCCCTTGGGTACATGTCTCTTTCCTCCACTCAACAGTAAGCTTTGATGAAGAGAAATTGGGATAGAGTGAAAGAACATATAGAAGAGAATGTCTTGGACTTGCTTCCAGATAACCTTGCAGTGGGGAGGGAGGGAGTCAGAGAACAGAGATGAAACAAAACTGGCCATGAATTCCTTTTTCGTTTTGGGAGGTTTTTCAATGTTACACATCTTTTTGGCTTTGTGTCAAACATTTACATGGAAAGCTTTTAATTTAGTATATATTTCCTTACTTTTGCAAACAGAATGTACTGATGATAACTAAACATTTCAGAATCATCATATGTTTTCAATTCTTTCACATCCTATTTAGTTTTGCAGAAGCTTCTACATTGAATGGCCAAGAATTATTAATGATTGAGGCTTGGTGAATGGTGAGGATAGGAGCATGGAGGTTATACGATTCTTTTTCTATTGTATATGTTTGAAATTATATATGTTGCAATTCTTAATAATTTTTATTTAGGCCTTATAGCTAGTCAGGATTTATATGTATAACATTCAAGATCCTTTTAAGGGGTGCAAAGAAATCCTTCCATTCACATTCCACCAAGACCCTCAATCCCTTACAAACAACTCAGATAATATCCGTCCAAATAAAAACAAAACATCCAAAATAGTAGATTTCTATTTCCCCAATAAACTACCTCTTTGCCTGTGTCTCTAATACTCTCACCCTTGAATTTGCCCCTTCGCTGGGCCTTTGAACTAGTATAGGTGGTGGGGAACCATAATTGCTAGACACAGACCCCTATTATCATCACCTCATAATAAGCTAAGAAGCCAGCTTGCTTGGTGTACTCCCCTGGAGATGCTGGTCCCATCGCTTCAGCCTGCAACCCATTCTCAGAGGCTGAGAGGAGGTGAAAGCTACGTCCATAGGTGGGAAACCCCATGATGAGCTTCTCTGGGGGGGCTCCAAGCTTTCTCCAGTAATTCATAGCATACTCCTGCAGGTAGGAAAAATACAGACCCCTCTTTGTTATAGAGCCAATAGCCTATGCTCAAGGGCAGATGTCTGAGCCGCCTGAGAGCTTTCCTTTACTTACTGATGATTTGTTGTCTTCAGGCAGAGAGAACAGGGGACTATGATGTCCTGTGTACTTT